GCACGTGTATATATATATATATATATATATATATATATATATATATATATATATATATAGTTAACTATAACACAAAACCAATGTCTATTATATTTACTCATAAGTCGTTCTAAGATTCGTATAATTGTTTAATTTTTAGAGTAAATAAAGCTAAAATCTGTTCAACATTTCGATATTTTTATTATACTGTTCCTCGATCTAAAATAAGATGTTGGAGGCCATCTACGTTAAACAAAACAGCCCACATCAAAAAAATTATATTTCACACTAGTCACAATATATTATATTGTATCTAAACATATCGTTCTGTTGTTAATATTTCGTTCTCTCGCGGGAAACGACGTCATAGCAACACAGCACGAATTTACAACCCCTGTCTGCTAATTGCACGACCGTTACAGTCTCATAGCAAATTTTTATGTAAGCAAAACAGGTTATTAGATGTGATGGCGAATATATTTGTAGAAATGTTCATATAAACAATCTGATGATGGCTCATGTAAGCCGAAAGCTTACATCGATAAACAGCATAATGTAAAAATATACAAATTTTGGACAGTTTTTTCTTTATTTTTTCCTGAAATTAAAACAACTATGAAGCATAGAACGGCTCATGGTCAAACATAATAGACATTCGCTGTTTGTTATATTTAACAAAATATGCTTGAATAATGGTCTGCAGCTCTCATACACAATATATATATATATATATATATATATATATATATATATATATATATATATATATATATTATTTTTATATTATAATTATATTTACATACGCTCTATCTCTGATATTGAGCACTTTATCCCATAAATATAGCACATCTTAAAACTATACATCTCTCTCTCTCTCTCTCTCTCTCTCTATATATATATATATATATATATATATATATATATATATATACCCAAGTATAGAATTGGTGAATACGGAATAAATTCCAATAACCAACAATTACTATTCTTAAAAGTGTGCTCAATACAGAGTAGAGCAGATATAATTATTTATTTAAAAATTATAACATAAATATGTTATAAAATCACTACAAAAATAGCCATTTTGTTTCGCCACCTCCAGTGTCATACCAAGTGATAATGTTGAAACATCAGCACTTGATAAGACACTGGAGGTGTTGAAACAAAACGACTATTTTTGTAGTGATTTTATAGCATATTTATGTTATAATTTTTAAAAAATAATCATATATATATATGTGTGTGCGTGTGTGTGTGTGTGTGTGTGTGTGTGTGTTGAAGGTCAACACTCAGAGGCGACAGACTGTTTCATTCTAGACGCAAGTGTTGATTTCAATGTTCACTTTTACAGATATATTTTATACACTCTATCTATGATATTGAGCAATTTATCCCATAAATATAACATATGTTAAAACTATATTTCTTTTATATATATATATATATATATATACAGATACATACATAAATACATAAATACACACACATATATATATATATATATATATATATATATATATATATATATATATATATATATATGAATTAATATTAGAAAATTACTAGCGTTAAATCAGTCTTCCTAAGTGCAATTCAGGCTATGTGTAAGTATATATCAGAAACCACGACAATCTCGGCGCGCGTGAGTTTGTGCGTGATTTTTCGGATAAACATTGAAGATAAAATCGATCAAATGCTAAAGCCGACGGCAACCATTTTACTTTTCATGCAGTCTATTGTTCTCATTTCACCTCTTTCTTCATCTTTTATAATAATAATAATAATAATAGTTTTTTAATGTTTCACAAAAAATATTTAAGTTTGGTTTCATACAAACAAACGCCACCCAAAGTATTAAAGCCCGGATAGACCTATTACACCTCCATGGAGGCATGGATCTTTACCTACATATATTCGGCTCTTGTTTCTTTTAAGTCATTGGCTTAAAACCGTTATTATATATGCGTGCCCAGTTGCTAAACAGGTGAACTGAACGAGGCATTGCACAAGCGTGAATCGTTCTGTTACGAAACATTAGTATTATTAGAAATATATATATATATATATATATATATATATATATACTGAAAAGAGGAAAAACATTTAAATGATTTTTTCCGTTATTGCTTTCTTTGTTCGGAGTTGTTTGTACAATTGCGAGAGCAATGATTTGCGGCGTAAGATAAGGCTATACAAAATCTCCTTATATCTTCAAATGAAAAGCTATATGCGTGCCTTTGCTTTTGTGTAGAATCGGGCATAGTTTAACTTTGTCGATGTCATCGCTTTTTTTTTGCATCTCTATCTCTGTGCATTTCTCTCCCCTTCTTTTTCAAATTTACAAACACACACGATCACATACATACACACGCGCTCTCACACACATACACAAACACACTCTCACACATACACACACAGATATATATATATATAAGGTGCGGCAGAAATACCACCCATAAGTTAAAGGTCGAGACAAAGCCCAAGTCAACTGCAAAAAAAATTACACTAATGGACAACCTTCCACATGGCGGCTTCGATTCGCCATACAATTTTGTCTATGATCTGTAAAGTTTCTCTCATCACTTCATATATATATATATATATATATATATATATATATATATATATATATATATATAAATGCACTTTCACTTTGAGACAGTAAACCTGCACGGATTTTGCAAACATGTCCCCACGAAGGGTTGACTGTCACATTTAGTGTTGGTTCTTATTATCTCAGCTGTTTTAGACGATTCTATTCAAAGTTAGTTATTTCTCGATGGCAGGTGTATCACCAGCTTGCTCGCTTTTTCGACAGCAAGTTCAGACTCCCGCCCCACCTCTCTCTCTCTCTTTATATATATATATATATATATATATATATATATATATATATATATATATATAAGAGACACTCATACGTCGAAAACGACGGAAAGTGCATATATATATATATATATATATATATATATATATATATATATATAACGTCATCCACAGAGAGACTATTTCGCTGTTTCACAGCTCATCAGTGTGGCTAGACATCCGGTTGCCTCTAGCTAGGATCGAAACCCGACTGAATTGGTGTCAGTCGGAGATTCTAACCATCGGCGCAGGGTAGGGTTGAAGTGGATTTTTAGCGTATCTATTTTTAGAAACACGCCCAGTGACCGACAGTGACTCAATTCGCATCTGCGAAGAGTCTCGCTATATAGCTATAATAGTCACTGTTTACCAACCCACATCTCCTCCCCAGAGAGCTCAACTGAAATTGATATTTCAGGAGCCAATATAACGTCATCCACAGACAGACTGTATATATATATATATATATATATATATAAACAACTGTTTACCGGTACAAAATCTGTACATTGTTTGTGAAGTCCCTTAATTTGTTGGTGGATATTTTAACTGTCCTTCGCTAATTATTTACACACAATTTCCCCTCCCCTCGTTGTAAGTATATATACTTATATGTTATTTATTTTAGCGTGTTTCCCTCTTTTTTTACTCTTAATTATTTGTTTCGTTAAAATTACCAATTTTCCCAAAGATTTTCTCCTGATAACATGTACGAAAGGGCCTGTTACCATTAATAAATCCCTTGTTTTTAAAATTACACACACACACACATATATATATATATATATATATATATATATATATATATAGTAATGTAATGGATTTATGCTTATCCGGGAATGTTGCCCTTTTCTTTTCTTTTTTAGCTTTCAATGCTATTTATCATTTACATCAGATTTGGCTAGACGCTCCCTTTATTTATTGAACAGTATATTTATTTATTCTCACCTGCAGGCCTGAATGTTCGAGAAATCTTATTAAAGAAAAATCTACACTTTCTAGCAGGATTTGAACTTGCGTCTTTCTGGGCAAAAGGAGTTATTTATATATCCATTCCGTTCTGATTAAATTGCGCTCCAGAGAAACAATCGGTAAGATGAGGCAGAAATTATAAATTTAAGGGAAACTTCTCCTGTCTTAGATCTCCCGATTTTACATGCTGGCACAGTTTCGTATCCAAACGTAAACAAAACGAAATTAGTCATTCACGAACTACAATACGCCCCGTTTAACCAAAAAGGCCGCTCAAGACGTCCTTCATTTAAGGATTTGATAGGAAAGACTGGATTAAATCAGTTTTTGAGTAATACCGTAACCCTGCAGCTTACGTAGAAGACCAGCGTGTCGAAGTCCTTCGAGATATCTAATGCCACATCACGGGTTTCATCATTATTATCAAGTGCTTGATATACACATTCAGTGATGGCCCTTAGCACCATCATTATTAGACTTGGCAAAATGGAATCCATTTTCTTTTGGAGAGTAGGTTGTGAGAGGTAAGGTGTTTACCCACTTCAGCATTGATTAAAATCTTGAATATTTTGCTGATATGTGGTAGGATATAAATAGTGCAATAGTTAGAGGTGTCAGAGGGTTTTCTCGAGTTCCCAAAAACAGGAAGTACTTCTAACAAGTTAAAAAGCAGGAAGAGGCGTGGCAATAGTTGTAGAGTTTGAAGATGACGGGAACTAAATCGGGAGCACATTTCTTTAGAACGATAGCTGAAATCTCATCACCCTCGCTTGATAGATAGATAGATAGATAGATAGATAGATAGATAGATAGATAGATAGAGAAAGAGACAGAAAGAGTAAGCTTTAAGAGTATTTTTTTAATATTTTTCAATTCAATTATGCACGATCAGTCTTATTTATTGATATTATCTATCGCATTTCCAGATAGATAGATAGATAGATAGATAGATAGATATCCATGTTGGTGTTGAACGTTATTCGATAAATCTATTAAACTCATTCACTCTATCTTGCCTGTCACGACACATACTGTTGCCAATTGTATTGCCTTTGCACGATGTGTCTCTTTAACAAGGACTTTTCAATGGGACTAGACGCGGAATAATCCACGCACCTAGGAATTGTTTTGCGCCAGCCATCATTAATAATAGTGATACTTGAAAAGAGGTGTGTTTTGTTACTATGAGAGAGACACTGGTGTGAGAGTGAATCAAATTTGCTCTCTACTCGTTCGTGATAATCAAATTCCTCTGCCAATATAATAAGCTGTAGCATTTACAATTGTACAGAAACAAACGTTCACTCAGTTTGCGATCGACTTGTAACCAAAACTGCGCTCAATCTTGGGCGTCTCTATTTTGCTTTCTCTAAAGGTAGAATGTGATCTCATGTAGCAGTTCAAGGGTTGACAATTAGCAAGCAAAGAGATTTAGGAGGAACTTATATATTCTTGTTTACCAAATAATTTTTGATAATGTTATCATTGTATAAGTATTTTTTTTTCTGGAAGCAAATTCAAGTTTTATTTAGTAATTTTGTCTTTAAATAGTAATTAACGTCTATCTGTCTGTCGCTGACTATCTATCTATCTATCTATCTATCTATCGTATTTTATTTGGTTATTTTATCCTTAAATCGTAATTAACGGGTATCTGTCTGTCTGTTGTCTGTCTCTCTGCCTATCTATCTCAATGTATTATCTATCTATCTATCTATCTATCTATCTATCTATATATATATATATATATATATATATATATATATATATACGCGCACACACACACACATGGATATATATCTGTGTGTTTCCGCATATTTAACTAGCAATCCCAATCACCTAAAATTATATCAATTTTATAGTTCCTTCAGTCTCATCACTTCTATTTCTCCCCGACACACACACACACACACACACACATATATATATATATATATATATATATATATATATATATATATATATATATATATATATATATCACATTCTGGTAGTATCTATAAATTTTTATACTAAATATGTATCTCAGTCTCATCATATCTGTCTACCTATCTATCTATCTATCTATCTATCTATCTATCTATCTATCTATCTATCTATATATGTCAATTTCAACGACATCTATCTATCTCTATTTTTACTTATTTACGTATTTGTATATATATATATATATATATATATATATATATATATATATATTTTTTCATGCATATATATATATATATATATATATATATATATATATATGTGTGTGTGTGTGTGTGTGTGTACCTAGCTAGCTATATTTCGCTGTCTGATAATATCTATCTATCTATCTATCTATCTATCTGTCTCATTCTATTTATCTAATTATACCCATATCTATCTATCAAGCTAGCTAGCTATTAATGTCTCTTCATGTTACATATGATGCAGTTTCTGTTTCTTTTCTTTCTTTTTTTTTTGCATTTGTGTAACGTCATTTTACGAGATACGTTGTAACGCCTCCAAAATTAAACTCCTCTCCATTAATCATCTCAGAGACCCTTTTCTGCCATCCATTAGCATGGCTGATGCTAATCTACAGAAAAATGACAAGTTTCGCCTTCTTAGGCTAACGTTCTCAGCTTACATGAAGTGGAAAGGCTATCTTGAATCCAATTGCTAGGTCAGCTGCTAAGAAATTTGTTTCACTATGTCGTGCGAGACAATATTTCTCTCCATAATCTATCTTTCATATCTGTCACATATGGGCCGGTGCCCTTGCTATTTAAATTGAGCTCTTTGATGAAATCAAAAGAAGAATCAATAATATCTTGGTCCTCACCAGGCGGTTCGGCTTTAGTCACTTTCCCACCGCCGCAAAGTTCTCTCTCTCTCTCTCTCTCTTTTCTGTTAATAATTTCCTGGTAAATTATCGGATGATCTGTTTGCTAAGGAACCTGGATTTGCGAATTTATGCCTAGCGTCTGAGATGAGGTATTATGTACATTATTTACATTATTTGTAATATTGTCCTCATCTTTGTCGCCATATATATTACAACGGCCTTCTTCAGGTGGTTGGAATGTCGAACTGAACCCTTTATTTCGCTGGGGTAGTTCCACGTGCCATGTTTGATGGATGTCAGTTATCAGTTATCTCCTGTTAATTTTCCCTCTTAAAGTTCTCCACTGCCTTAACCGGGTATTGAACTGACTCTTTGGGTCCTGTCACTGCATCTAACCAACGGCTCTATCCACTGTGCCATGCGGACATCTGGTATGAATTTCTGGGTATTATAAACCTAATGTCTTCTGCAACCATTTTTACCAGTGCTCATATTGCAATTTTGCTTTTATCATTGCACGATTTTACCAGAGCTCATATTGCAACTTTTGTTGTTATCATTGTTTTTCTCTGGCACTCCTTATTACTGGTTCCAATATTGTATTTATTTCTATGCTTCGTTCCAGCCACCTGAAGAAGGCCGGAGCGTACAACGGCCGAAACTTTGTGATAAATATGGCGACAAAGATGAGGACAATAGTCCGAATAATGTAAATAGTGTACATAATACCTCATCTCAGAAATATAGACAGATATTTCTATGCTTGGTTCCAACCAACTGAAGAAGGCCGGAGCGTACAACGGCCGAAACTTTGTGTTAAATATGGGGACAAAGATGAGAACAATAGTCCGAATAATGTAAATAGTGTACCTAATACCTCATCTAAGAAATATAGACAGATACTGAATGGCAGAAACGTTGTTAAAAATATGGCGACAAATATGAGGACAATAGTCGGAATAATGTAAATAGTGTACATAATACCTCATCTCAGAAATATAGACAGATACTGAAAGGCAGAAACGTTGTAATATATATGGCGACAAATATGAGGACAATAGTCCGAATAATGTAAATAGTGTACATAATACCTCATCTCAGAAATATAGACAGATACTGAAAGGCAGAAACGTTGTTATAAATATGGCGACAAATATGAGGACAATAGTCCGAATAATGTAAATAGTGTACATAATACCTCATCTCAGAAATATAGACAGATACTGAAAGGCAGAAACGTTGTTATAAATATGGCGACAAATATGAGGACAATAGTCCGAATAATGTAAATAGTGTACATAATACCTCATCTCAGAAATATAGACAGATACTGAATGGCAGAAACGTTGTTATAAATATGGCGACAAATATGAGGACAATAGTCGGAATAATGTAAAAAGTGTACATAATACCTCATCTCAGAAATATAGACAGATACTGAATGGCAGAAACGTTGTTATAAATATGGCGACAAATATGAGGACAATAGTCTGAATAATGTAAATAGTGTACATAATACCACATCTCAGAAATATAAACAGATACTGAAAGGCCTAACGTTGTAATAAATATGGCGACAAAGATGAGGACAATAGTCCGAATAATGTAAATAATGCACTAGACTAGCGTTGAACTCTCATCAATTTAGCCTTATGAATGTAAAACTTGGTGAAAACAGTTGAAACATGTTAAAATCAATATATTCTCATCGATAACATATCGATTATCAATAATGTTTCTTTTCGTTTTCGAATTTACTCCAGTTCTATGTCTTCAACTTTAATGTGTAAAAATTTAAATGCAATGTCAAATCACTATCGACTGTTCTTCTGATTAATCATTCCTTTTTCCCGCTTATTTATAATATTTCTATTCCTAATCCTTCCACAATGCGTAACTCCTGTGTTTTGTGGCTCTTCTGCATTGCGTGTGGCGAAACTGATTTTTTGAGAAAAATTCCTTATCAAGACTCAATCCTTTTGTTGGAATCCATGTTTAATCATACATCTGAGAAAGCGTTTGTATAAAGCTAACGGTTTCAGAATAGCAATTTACAGACAATAAAGAAAAAAAAATACATCACCCTGATCACCAATGTCTTGCAGGGACATGTTATTTAAAAGTACATAAAAAGTGACGGGTTATTTATGGATAAATCACCATGTTTGTATAAGCCATAGGTAAGTCCCTCTGACAATCAAATTGCTACTTCTGTTTCTCTGCCCCGGATCACTTTAACCTCTGAACGCTCGGCCAAAATCAGTACTTGAAGTTCAACTCTGATGTGGTCAAGTAACACTGGCTCTCAGTCTAGGTCAATTCTTCCTATCTTCTATTTAGAACGCCAGAAGAGTAAAATTTGAGTCCAATGTTCTTGCTAGTCAGTGCCTGTGGGTGAAGGTAGTAGTTAATTGAAAAGGACATTAATTAATTTCTGGTCTTGGTCAAATAAAATAACTGGGAACTGGTAAAATAAATAAGTTCGTTGGGACGGAAAGTCTGTTTGAAAATAAAAACGTTATTTCGCGAATTTGCTGAAATAGTAACTGGGAGTTCAACCCCTGGGCTGGGCAGACTATTCTTGGATTCAGGGGTAAGGAAGTGTGCTATAATTTAATTTTAAATAAAGGGTTCAGTTCAGAAATGTCAATAACACATCCACAAATCGCAAACATAGTATATACACACATATAAATCAGCATATATGTGTGTATAGGTATATATATATATATATATATATATATATATATATATATATATATATATATATATATATATATAAGTTGCACGATAACTATCTAAGTCTATTTTATTTATGTGCGTATTTATATGTATGTTTCTGATTATGTACATATCTATCTATTTTCATACATATATATATGTGTGTATGTGTGTATACCTAGCTTGCTATATTTCGCTCTCATAATATCTATCTATCTATCTATTTATTTATCTATCTATTCATCTATGTGTTTCATTCAATCTATCTAATTATACCCATATCTATCTATCTATCTATCTATCTATCTATCTAACTAGCTAGCTAGCTAGCCATTAATGTATCTTCGTGTTACATATGCTCTACATTTTAGTTAGTGTTAGTGCTGCCTTTGAAATTTCTCAAGTGATGCAATTTCTGATATGTCCCGAAAAGGGATATATTTGAACGAAGTAGCTAAGTGGTTTTGGCTACTATAAATAACCAAATAGAATATGGTAGCAGCAATCGACTGATAAGACGTTTAGTCATCTTGACACCATAAGATTTGTCGTAAGAATCTCTGAAAAACCCTTTGAGTTATTCAGGTCAAAAGAGAAGAGGTTAAAATAATTTTGTGTCAGCCCCTGTCTTCCCAACTGAGCAATGGTGAGAGG